GCATCAGGGGCGCAACTATATTTTTAAATTTAAATTTAAATTTTTATCCAGTCAGATAAACACTCCAAACAGCCTACCCAACCGCTCGGAGGTGTCCGCATGGTCCTAAAGCACACCGTTGCCTCTTTTTGTATCACATTTCACTGATAAAACTGGGGGGGACAAAAGTGCAATTTCAGAATGTGGGGGGGAACATGTCCGTAGGTGATTGAAAGACCGCTCGAAGCTGCCTCCCCTCCTTGTTCGGGCAGGCTTCGGCGTCCGTCGTCACCGGCCTTCTAGCCACTGCCGCTCCTCATCTCATCATTCCATTTGTCTTGTCAATTACACACACCTGGTTCATTTCCCCTCATTAGTACATGTATAAGTGTTCCCTCTGCCCCCTTGTCCTTGTGGGTGATTGTTTCATGTGAGATGAGTGGAGCTCGGTGGAGCTACCTGTACTTTGTATTGCTGGGGTATATTTTCCCCGTGTGCCTGTATTTGTTCCAGTGCGCCAGTTTTGCGCAATGGACTGTTGACGCTATCCAGCGTAACTGTGTACTACGGAATAAACTCTGTATTCTGTGATTTACCCTCCTGCGCCTGACTCCTTCAAATCACCTATCACAGTGGGCTACCCCAGCCAATAGAATTCTACTCCGTTGCGCTCTGGCTCTGCTACAACAAAATCATAGACTCAATCTTGCAAAGTTAGATTTGTTTTGGTTTGTTGCATTGAAAAGGGGCTGATATAATGTTGATTCGATAACAGAAAAAACTTTCTATATAGTGAAAACTAATGGGGCGAACTCGGTGAAGTTCAATCTCTTGCGTCTCTGCGCGGCCTGGCATTTTTTCTGCGCGGCAGTCCTGGAGGAGGTGCGCGGCAGTCCTGGAGGAGGTGCGCGGCAGTCCTGGAGGAGGTGCGCGGCAGTCCTGGAGGAGGTGCGCGGCAGTCCTGGAGGAGGTGCGCGGCAGTCCTGGAGGAGGTGCGCGGCAGTCCTGGAGGAGGTGCGCGGCAGTCCTGGAGGAGGTGCGCGGCAGTCCTGGAGGAGGTGCGCGGCCGTGCACGCATGCAGCTTAGAGGGAACATTGCTCACCACCCTGCACAGTTAAAGTTCTGAGACATGGGGTTTGTGTTATTGTCAACCCTACTGCTGCTGTGTACGTGTCTCACACACATACATATGTCATTTACATTTCTCTTTCAAGAGCGTGGGTGCTAGTGTTGTGATGGTGATTTAGATGTAGGTTAGCGTTTTTCATCTTGAATCTTGTTCTGGAGGCAGTTCTGCAGAGTGGTAACTAGCTGGCACAGCCACAAAGTCATTTTTTACAACTTAACCAATTTTGACTTTGCAGCTGGCCTATCTAAGGGGAAATCACTCATGTCTGCCTCCAGGACAAGACTCATGACAATAAATGTCAACCTGTGATTTAGATACAATAAGCCCAATGGTCTGCTGATCTGATTTGCTATAGCACTCTGTGGAGATGAGAGGGAGAGGAGCTGAGAGGGAAGGAGAGGAGCTGAGAGGGAAGGAGAGGAGAGAAGAGGAGAGGACTGAAGGAGAGAAGATAAGCTGAGGAGTTCAAGGGCATCACAGGCAGCGATCAAACGGAGAAGGATGGCTGTGCTGTGATGGAGAAGGATGGTTGCAATTGGCTTGATTTAGGAACAGGAGGGGTACTAGATGTTTCTTTAAAGGAGGGAGAACGATGGGCATCTTTTTTCACCGTACGCTCTGGAGGGTAAACGTTGTTCAGTTTGGAGCTCATTTCTGATAATCAAAGGGAGTGAGTTGTGAGATTGAAACACCTTCCTGTTGTCAGAGCTGTTCTCTAGTCTAGTTCAGGGAAACATACCTAAGGAGAATCTGTGTGTCGGTCAGAATATGTGAAAAGAGGCCAGGGCAGGAGAGCAGGAGGAAAGAAATCATTACAATGGTCACTGATTTAAACAGAGGTCAGAGCAGAGCAGCAGTGATGATAACTCTCGAATCAAAGCAGGTTAAGGTCACTATCTGATGAAAGCCTCTTAATCTTAATTTTTGGCAATTTTTTTTCATGTATTGAAAGCAGTAACTCCCCTCAATGTACTCTGAAGATTTCATGACTCTAGGATCAAGAAAATGTATAAAAAATAGCTTCTGAAGTTTCAAAATGGTATATTATCGGCAAAATATGGCAGTCTTTTCTATTTCTTTTTTCGAGATAAAAGGTTTTCATCAGACAGCGACGTTATGCTCTTCAGTTAGACATGTATACAAATACATAAAACACTGATGAAAAGGTCCCTCTCTCTTAGAGATCTCTTCATTTCTCATTGATTGGACACGCACACACACACACACACACACACACACACACACACACACACACACACACACACACACACACACACACACAGCCATGACCCATTGTGCCAATGATACTGCCATGGCTTCTCTGATTGTTCCGTCCTCTGACATGTTAGATTGGAGCGGGTATCAGGCAGTGGCAGTAGTATTATCTCTGTCACACTATGACAGGTTAGAGACATGAGCATACCGTATATCTAACTGACTGACTCCCTTCCTCACTGGGCTGGCTTGGTCTCAGAGCAAAGAGATTCTCTCTGACAGGGTTCATCAATACACATTAAGTTAATCATCTGTCGCAGAATGACCGCCCTCCCTCCCACCCATCCTCCTCTCTTCCACTCCTCCCCCCCCACTCGTCCACGCCCCAGCATCATCAAGCATGAATCGATTAATCCTGCCTTTATCTGAGAATTTGATTAGCAGTCTCATGTCGCCTCCATCTATCTGAAGACCTCTATATTATGTTGATTGCTTCAGTTGAGGCTGAGGTCACATTTCATATGAGGTCACACAGATGGTATTTAGAAGGTATATCCCCAGAGACTGATTTATCGGAATGTTCTCAATCAGAATCCATATCCATGCACCAATCTAGTGTGTTAAATCAGATATCATATCTAATGAAAATTAATATCAGTTAGATACAGTACTCTTAGTCTCGTACCGATCACCATTGATTGAGGATTTGGAATTATCCACAGGTCAGTTTTCAGGACGGGATGTCATTGAGTCTAGCAGATGGAACATAGATCTGTGGAACAGTGGGCACCATAAATAATTCCATAATTTTGATAATTCTGTTTGGCTTTAATGGAATCAGTGATCACAGCGCGAGAGGGAGAGAAAGAGAGGGAGAGAGACGGGGGAGTGGGCCGAGATGGAGAGCGAGTGGAGGAGGGAGAGAGACAGGGGAGGATGGTGGAAAGTGGAGGGAGAGGAGAGAGGGAGGGAGAGAGAGAGACCGGAGAGAAGTGAGGGAGACCGTTGTAGTGTAGAAGACAGAGGGAGGGATGGGGGAGCGAGGGAGGGAGGGAGGGGGGAGTTAACAGTTGTTTGAGAAGATCTCAGGAGGAGATATAGGATAAAGACACTTCCATCAATATGTTTTGTCAGCGTTGACAGCTCTGTCATCTGCTATGAGCTGCTCTGGTTTGAACTCTCAAGGCAGATGGCGGCAGACTAACTTGCTAGTTTTTCTCTATCTGGATCCACTTCTCTCTCTTTTTCCAACCTCAATCCTCCTCTCTCTCTCTCTCTCTCTCTCTCAATTTTTCAATTCAATTTCAATTTAAGGGCTTTATTGGCATGGGAAACGTGTGTTATCATTGCCAAAGCAAGTGAAGTAGATAGTAAACAAAAGTGAAATAAACAATAAATATTAACAGTAAACATTACACTCAGAAGTTTCAAAAGAATAAAGACATTTCAAATGTCATATTATGTATATATACAGTGTTGTAACAATGTGCAAATAGTTAAAGTACAAATGGGAAAATAAATAAACATAAATATGGGTTGTATTTACAATGCTGTTTGTTCTTCACTGGTTGCCCTTTTCTTGTGGCAACAGGTCACAAATCTTGCAGCTGTGATGGCACACTGTGGTTTTTTCACCCAGTAGATAAGGGAGTTTATCAAAATTGGGTTTGTTTTCGAATTCTTTGTGGATCGCTGTAATTGGGGAAATTGTCTCTAATATGGCTACATTTGGCAGGAGGTTGGAAGGGGAAAAAACCCCCCCCCCCCCCCCCCCCCCCCCTTTTTTTTTTTTTCCCCCCCCCCCTTTCCCCCCCCTTTTTGTTTTCCGAGGGGACTGAAACCGTTTTTAAAACTGGCTCGCTCTTTCCCCTTTTTTTTTTTAGGGGTTTTTTTTGGGCCGGCTCGAACCGGGGGTCCCCCCCATTACCAAAAGGGGAAAAAAATGGGAATTATTTTTGGTCAAAAGAAAACCCGGGGGGGTTTTTTTTTTGGGGGGGGGGAAAAAAGTAAACTGGAGGGGGGGGCAAAAAGGAGTTTTCCGGAGAAGCGGGGGGGGAGAGGAAGAAGGAGGCCCCCTTTTTTGAGGTTTAAAAGGGGGGGGGTTTTGGGGGGGGCCCCTTGGGGGCCCCCCCCCGGTTGGGAAAGGAGGGGTGGTAGGGAGGGGGGGGGAGATTTTGGGGCCCCTTTGGGCCCCCTCTTCTCTCTCGCTCCTCTCTCTCTCTCTCTCTCTCTATCTCTCCTCTCTCTCTCTCTCTCTCTCTTCTCTCTCTCTCTCTCTCTTCTCTCTCTCTCTCTCTCTCCCCCCATCTCCCTCCCTGCTGTGTGTTCTCAGACAGACAGGGCAGACTGAACCTTGTCTTTACAGAGCTGAGCTCACAGACAATCTATCAACACAGCAGTGTTTTCTTCTCTATGGTTCTCTCTGGCCGCTCAGTGCTCAGACACACTGGGCTGGCTGGGCACAGGGGACTCGGAGTTACTGAACATTAAGGAGGAAATGTGGGACCACTTATTGTATGGTCATAAATCAGAATACCTGGAGAGAGATGTGATATAGTTTTCTATCATTCTGTGTGAAATTAATGAAAAATACTGTGAGCTTCTCACATGTACAAACCATGTACAATGATGTTTCTCTGGAGACACTGTCTGCCTTGTCTGTATGCATGATGTGACATGAATGTTTCATGGTTCTACCTGTCCTCTCCTCTCTGCAGGTTAATACACGGGGGTCAGCTGTTGAATGGTTTGGCCGGGCCAACAATAATGAGCGCTGGACCCCTCCTCTCCACCACATGGTTCGCTCCGGACCAGAGAGCCACGGCCACCGCTGTCGCCTCATTGGTCAGCTATCTGGGGGCGGCATGCTCTTTCATTGTCGGCCCGCTGCTTGTGCCCGCCCCTAACGAAACCACCCGTGTCATGGTGGCTCGAGCTGTCGTCTGGACAGACACCCAGATCAACCACATACAAGACAGGATCCAGCTGGTTTTGTATGCAGGTGCTGATGTTATGTCTTATGTAGCTGTTATAAAGGCTATATGAATGCATACATAAGGGGGCGTGCAGTAAAGTGTTACCCAGATACACAAGACAGGATCCAACTGGTTGTGTATGCAGGCAGGTAGTGCGAAAAATAAAGAAATGCTGTCGCTACCTCACTTTCAAACCAAGGTGCACGAACACTGGTGCAATGAGCATACTGAAGATGAGAAGATATTCAGCACATTGTCCTACCAAGAGTTGCTGAACATCTTCTCATCTTATGTATGTATGTAGGTACTGACAACAGCACAGACAGCCTCTATCAGTTAGTCATCATTACCCTGCAGGAATCAATAGCAGACCATCTCTGGTCTGGATCTAGTCTAGGGAGAGAAATACAATCTGCTCAAAGTCATCTAACTGTCTTTGTCTCATCACACAAATACCAGACTCAAACGTTTCGACAATGTAATATTCAAAACAGAACGGGCTGCCATAAAAAGATGGAGGCTTGGACTGTTTTGCTTAACTGATTTAGAAAATTAAAGCATTTAATGAAATAAAAAAATATTATCCGCCTACAATAATACATTGAGGCTTTGTGTTAACCTAAGGGCGTATTCATATTACATTTCAAAGGACAAAACAGACACATTTTCTGAACCGAGAGCTTTAGAGGTCATAGGGAAATTAATTTCAAGTCAGAAAGCATTTAGAGGGAATTAAAATCCTTGACGTTTTCCTTCTGCTTCTCCACAAGGAGAATAAATTATACACCTCCACACACACACTAAAGAAAAGCAGCAGTCAACCCTTGTGCCAAAGGAAAAGACTGATGTCTTTTTTGGGTTGAAAAAAACAAATGTGAGCTGTGTTGCGCCAGCCAGCCAGTAAAAATGCAGATGCTGTCTAATCAATCTGCACATTATGACAGGAAAAAGCATGATTTATGATTCTGGTGGTATTTCTTGGGAAATAGACTGTCCGAAAATGCTCTAGCTTTTCCAAGAGAAATGGGTCCGGTTCGGTTTCCCATGCCAAGCCATGCCAGGCCAGTGAAAAGGGTTGTGGGATTTTGTAGCTTGTTTGGAAGGCAGGCTGACAGAGAGAGTATCAGAGCCCTCTACAGTCTCTGTGCCAGCTGAATAATGTAGTCCCAGGCCCATCTCTCTGATAAACTGCTGCTCTCTTAATTGACTACTCTGGACATCTGCAACACAGCAGGTCTGAACTCTGATGTCTTCAGGTTCTGTGCTCTGCTGTCCTGCTCTGTTCCATCTAAAAGTAGGGTGGAATCGGAGACAAATACATGTGGCTCTGGGTGGAATGGTTTTGTTAGTGACACATTGACTGAGTTCAAGTAATTAGCAGGCTAATAATAACCCTTATCTTTGACCTTAAGGTTACACACTTACAGTGGGGGGAAAAAGTATTTATTCAGCCACCAATTGTGCAAGTTCTCCCACTTAAAAAGATGAGAGAGGCCTGTAATTTTCATCATAGGGACATGTCAACTATGACAGACAAATTGAGAAAAAAAAATCCAGAAAATCACATTGTAGGATTTTTAATGAATTTATTTGCAAATTATGGTGGAAAATAAGTATTTGGTCACCTACAAACAAGCAAGATTTCTGGCTCTCACAGACCTGTAACTTCTTCTTTAAGAGGCTCCTCTGTCCTCCACTCATTACCTGTATTAATGGCACCTGTTTGAACTTGTTATCAGTATAAAAGACACCTGTCCACAACCTCAAACAGTCACACTCCAAACTCCACTATGGCCAAGACCAAAGAGCTGTCAAAGGACACCAGAAACAAAATTGTAGACCTGCACCAGGCTGGGAAGACTGAATCTGCAATAGGTAAGCAGCTTGGTTTGAAGAAATCAACTGTGGGAGCAATTATTAGGAAATGGAAGACATACAAGACCACTGATAATCTCCCTCGATCTGGGGCTCCACGCAAGATCTCACCCCGTGGGGTCAAAATGATCACAAGAACGGTGAGCAAAAATCCCAGAACCACACGGGGGGACCTAGTGAATGACCTGCAGAGAGATGGGACCAAAGTAACAAAGCCTACCATCAGTAACACACTACGCCGCCAGGGACTCAAATCTTGCAGTGCCAGACGTGTCCCCCTGCTTAAGCCAGTGCATGTCCAGGCCCGTCTGAAGTTTGCTAGAGTGCATTTGGATGATCTAGAAGAGGATTGGGAGAATGTCATATGGTCAGATGAAACCAAAATAGAACTTTTTGGTAAAAACTCAACTCGTCGTGTTTGGAGGACAAAGAATGCTGAGTTGCATCCAAAGAACACCATACCTACTGTGAAGCATGGGGGTGGAAACATCATGCTTTGGGGCTGTTTTTCTGCAAAGGGACCAGGACGACTGATCCGTGTAAAGGAAAGAATGAATGGGGCCATGTATCGTGAGATTTTGAGTGAAAACCTCCTTCCATCAGCAAGGGCATTGAAGATGAAACGTGGCTGTGTCTTTCAGCATGACAATGATCCCAAACACACCGCCCGGGAAACGAAGGAGTGGCTTCGTAAGAAGCATTTCAAGGTCCTGGAGTGGCCTAGCCAGTCTCCAGATCTCAACCCCATAGAACATCTTTGGAGGGAGTTGAAAGTCTGTGTTGCCCAGCGACAGCCCCAAAACATCACTGCTCTAGAGGAGATCTGCATGGAGGAATGGGCCAAAATACCAGCAACAGTGTGTGAAAACCTTGTGAAGACTTACAGAAAACGTTTGACCTGTATCATTGCCAACAAAGGGTATATAACAAAGTATTGAGAAAGTTTTGTTATTGACCAAATACTTATTTTCCACCATAATTTGCAAATACATTCATTAAAAATTCTACAATGTGATTTTCTGGATTATTTTTTCTCATTTTGTCTGTCATAGTTGACGTGTACCTATGATGAAAATTACAGGCCTCTCTCATCTTTTTAAGTGGGAGAACTTGCACAATTGGTGGCTGACTAAATACTTTTCCCCCCCACTGTATGTTAATAACCCACTGATCTGTGTTTCTCTTGATCTCTGTGTCCCTCCTGGTATATAGAGTTTGGTATGGTGGCGGTGCTGTTTGCTGCGGTGCTGTTCTACTTCCCCTCCCGGCCCCCCGTGCCCCCCAGTGTAGCCGCTGCCAGCCAGAGACTTCGCTACAGGAGTAGCATCTACAGACTACTGGGGTATGTATTGTCTGGTCGTTTGCCATCATCACACACCAACAATAAAAGCAGGAATTTATATAACTTTACTAACAGGTAATGAATTGCACAGCAATGTAAAAAGCATATTGATGTAGTTTTACAAACTCCCTCTGAATAGACCAGCATGTTGAGAGCACATGTCATGAGCCTGAATCAACGGAGTGATCTCCAATTAAGTTGTTATGATGCCTTGAAATGATTTGGCCTTTATCACAGCAGTCATGAAAGGGCATGGGGTTGGTGTATCCTCTCTGTTGCCTCTCAACAGGCCTTTTCCTGTTTTAACTTTCTGTGTGAGTAGTAGTGATAGAGAATCTTAATGAAGGCATCTTGTTTCTCTGCCCCTCGCCATCTGTTTGGGCCGCTAGTTAATGTGCATAAAAGACATATCCTCTCTCCCCCTAGATTAATTACACAGCCATAAGGTGCCCCTGGCATTCCCCTGGCATTCCCCTGGCCATGCTTAATAAATAGATCATCATCATCATCATCATCTCATCCATCTCGTCCTTTGGAGTCCATGGTCCTAGTAACATACTGTACTCATACAGCCAGGGTCCTCTGGAGTCCATGGTCCTATAACATACTGTACTCATACAGCCAGGGTCCTCTGGAGTCCATGGTCCTGTACATACTGTACTCATACAGCCAGGGTCCTCTGGATTCCATGGTCCTATAACATACGTATCATAAGCCAGGGTCCTCTGGAGTCCATGGTGCTATAACATACTGTACTCATACAGCCAGGGTCCTCTGGAGTCCCATGGTGCCTATACATACTGTCAATAACGCCAGGGTCCTCTGGAGTCCATGGCCTATAACATACTGTACTCATACAGCCAGGGTCCTCTGGAGTCCATGGTCCTGTAACATACTGTACTCATACAGCCAGGGTCCTCTGGAGTCCATGGTGCTCTAACATACTGTACTCATACAGCCAGGGTCCTCTGGAGTCCATGGTCCTGTAACATACTGTACTCATACAGCCAGGGTCCTCTGGAGTCCATGGTCCTGTAACATACTGTACTCATACAGCCAGGGTCCTTTGGAGTCCATGGTCCTATAACATACTATACTCATACAGCCAGGGTCCTCTGGAGTCCATGGTCCTATAACATACTGTACTCATACAGCCAGGGTCCTTTGGAGTCCATGGTCCTATAACATACTGTACTCATACAGCCAGGGTCCTCTGGAGTCCATGGTCCTATAACTTACTGTACTCATACAGCCAGGGTCCTCTGGAGTCCATGGTGCTATAACATACTATACTCATACAGCCAGGGTCCTTTGGAGTCCATGGTCCTATAACATACTGTACTCATACAGCCAGGGTCCTCTGGAGTCCATGGTCCTATAACTTACTGTACTCATACAGCCAGGGTCCTCTGGAGTCCATGGTGCTATAACATACTATACTCATACAGCCAGGGTCCTCTGGAGTCCATGGTCCTATAACATACTGTACTCATACAGCCAGCGTCCTCTGGAGTCCATGGTCCTATAACATACTGTACTCATACAGCCAGGGTCCTCTGGAGTCCATGGTCCTGTAACATACTGTACTCATACAGCCAGGGTCCTCTGGAGTCCATGGTCCTATAACATACTGTACTCATACAGCCAGGGTTCTCTGGAGTCCATGGTCCTATAACATACTGTACTCATACAGCCAGGGTTCTCTGGAGTCCATGGTCCTATAACATACTGTACTCATACAGCCAGGGTCCTTTGGAGTCCATGGTCCTATAACATACTGTACTCATACAGCCAGGGTCCTCTGGAGTCCATGGTCCTGTAACATACTGTACTCATACAGCCAGGGTCCTTTGGAGTCCATGGTCCTATAACATACTGTACTCATACAGCCAGGGTCCTCTGGAGTCCATGGTCCTGTAACATACTGTACTCATACTGCCAGGGTCCTTTGGAGTCTCATGGTCCTATAACATACTGTACTCATACAGCCAGGGTCCTCTGGAGTCCATGGTGCTCTAACATACTGTACTCATACAGCCAGGGTCCTCTGGAGTCCATGGTCCTGTAACATACTGTACTCATACAGCCAGGGTCCTCTGGAGTCCATGGTCCTGTAACATACTGTACTCATACAGCCAGGATCCTTTGGAGTCCATGGTCCTATAACATACTATACTCATACAGCCAGGGTCCTCTGGAGTCCATGGTCCTATAACATACTGTACTCATACAGCCAGGGTCCTTTGGAGTCCATGGTCCTATAACATACTGTACTCATACAGCCAGGGTCCTCTGGAGTCCATGGTCCTATAACTTACTGTACTCATACAGCCAGGGTCCTCTGGAGTCCATGGTGCTATAACATACTATACTCATACAGCCAGGGTCCTCTGGAGTCCATGGTCCTATAACATACTGTACTCATACAGCCAGCGTCCTCTGGAGTCCATGGTCCTATAACATACTGTACTCATACAGCCAGGGTCCTCTGGAGTCCATGGTCCTGTAACATACTGTACTCATACAGCCAGGGTTCTCTGGAGTCCATGGTCCTATAACATACTGTACTCATACAGCCAGGGTCCTCTGGAGTCCATGGTCCTATAACATACTGTACTCATACAGCCAGGGTCCTTTGGAGTCCATGGTCCTATAACATACTGTACTCATACAGCCAGGGTCCTCTGGAGTCCATGGTCCTGTAACATACTGTACTCATACAGCCAGGGTCCTTTGGAGTCCATGGTCCTATAACATACTGTACTCATACAGCCAGGGTCCTCTGGAGTCCATGGTCCTGTAACATACTGTACTCATACAGCCAGGGTCCTTTGGAGTCTCATGGTCCTATAACATACTGTACTCATACAGCCAGGGTCCTCTGAAGTCCATGGTCCTGTAGCATACTCATACAGCATTCAGAATGCACTGTCCTCCTAACATTGCATCGACACGCGCACACATACATTGAGAGCTGGGGGCAATGGTGCTGTTTCGGCGCTGTGTTTGGATGGGAGCTAGAGCACTCATTGCCATCCGCGGATTCTGTGCCCGCGGTGCGTATCCTGTCTGGTTGTGGTGGAATGGAATGGGCCGAGGACAGCCAGTGACCGGGCGGGTTGGCTGGTTGGCTCTCTGTAACCTACAGTCAGCCCCTCCAGCCAGGCAGATCTCTCGCTCTCTCTTTCTCTCTCTCGCTCTCTCTTTCTCTCACTCGCTCTCTCTTTCTCTCTCTAGTTCTCTCTCTTTCTCTCTCTCGCTCTCTCTCTTTCTCTCTCTAGTTCTTATTGACTCTCACTGATGATAAACAATAACAAACTAAGCTGCTAAGCACAGAGCTTCAAGAGAGGGATAATACCAGTCAAGCTGTCATAAACCCAGTATACACACACACACACACACACTTTGTCTGGACGGCCCCATTGGGACTGTAATGCTATCTGGAGTCCCACTGATAAGCAGCCTTCTAGCGGCCAGTCTGAACTGTATCACACTGTAGTAGCATCAGTGGCTGTCTGGTTCTACAGAAGGATTGTGGATGGAAGGAAGGGAAAAAGTGGGTCTTGAGTATCTAAGTTCCACTCGTCAAAGAAAGATAGACCTGGGTTGGCAGCAAAATTCTGTTTTCTAAAGTTTGCTAGGTTTTCTAAGCCAGTATCCTAAGCCACCACTTTTGCCCCTTCCTTCCATTTCTGTTGTTGTGCCGGTCAGAGAGAGTTTTGACCGTAATTAATGATGAAGTTAGCCCAGCCGTTCCCTTCTGTTGCAGAGCCTAATCACAACACAGGTCTGGCCAAAAGTAATGCACTATATAGGGAATAGGGTGCCATTTGGGATGAACCCAGCTTTCCACACATTTAGAAAGGTTATCAGTACTGCTTGACCACTGCTCTGGGAATAGTAATGATGTTAGCTAGCAGCATCGATGAAAGTCCCATTATAACAATAACAGTCATTTTGCCTGGGAAGGTTTTCTCCTACTCATTCTGATGCATTGAACTCCAGCCAAGACCTGCCAAAGACAAATGGCACTTAGCTGATGATGCCGCTGGCTTCATGACTCCCCGAAATATTTCACCCTCCACAGGGCAGCGCTGTGCTTACTTAGTATGTGTCCCAAATAGCACCCTATTACGTGCATTGTGCACTATTTTTGACCAGAGCCCTATGGGCTATATAGGGCAGCACATAGGGAATAGGGTGCCATTTGAGACAGCCTTTCTATACAGTGATCTAACTAAGCTGTGGGATGGAAAAAGGTGCTGGATATTGATTCCTGCCATTACAACCGAGAGAGAGAGAGCGCTCCGTCAACACACTTTTACAAGTCTGTCTCTCTCTCTCGACTCTCGACTCCTCCAAGGCCAAGTAGCCGAGTACCACAGGTACAGGGTACTAGGTGGGTGCTCCGAGATACTCTCTCTTACAGTGGATCTCCGTGGGGCTTCTGCTGGGGGAGAATACAACCAAGACCAAATAGTACAGGACAGAGTACCACAGGCCCTGGATTATCCACACTTCTCTTGAAGTGTGCACTTGCACACTCCCCATCATGGAAAACTCCTCCAGCCAATGCTTACACCAATCCAATTATTTTAAATCCATGATCGGTCCGTTATCAGCTTAGCCTCATTGATTTATAATGAATGAACAGGGGGACTTGATCCTCAGCACTCCTACTCTTGATACGTACAGCCCCTAGTCTGCTTCCCGGTCCATCTGTCTCTAAGGAGTCTTAGAGTTAGTTTATGCCGGTTCCATCTCAGCACGGACTAATAGCTAATCAAGTGAGAGTAGTAAGAGTGTCAGCCCTTCATGGTTTATGAGCATTTATATAACTGTCTCTGTAATCATCAGGCCAGAGCAGCCAGGAGCCTGACTGTGTGTGTGTCTGAACACAGAGCGGAGAATCATCCCCCAGTCTCACCTAGCTGCTAACACTGACTGGCACCACTCCAATCACTCTCTGACCAATTACAATCAGCCATAAGACCCTATTCTCATCACCTCCGCCCCAAAACCTTGTCCCTGCTACATCTCCACGCCGCTAATTTCATTTTGGAACCATCACTTCATCCGCCTAACCGCACCATTAAATCACCAGGCGTCTGGGCTGACCGTGACAGCAGCCGTCATGGAAGGGGCAATCTCTCTCTCTCTCTGTCTCTCTCTGTCTCTCTCTGTCTCTCTCTGTCTCTCTCTCTCTCTCTCTGTCTCTCTCTGTCTCTCTCTGTCTCTCTCTGTCTCTCTCTGTCTCTCTCTGTTCTCTCTGTCTCTCTCTCTCTCTCTGTCTCTCTCTGTCTCTGAGGAGGAGGATTGTTTATGTTTCCCTAACGTCCGTTCACTACAGACAGCAGGCGCTTACTCATGCGTTTCTTTGTTTCCATTGATATGCCGGAGGCGTCCTGTGTGTATCGTGGAGGGACATCTGGCGAATTCTTAAGGCGTTCCTCATCCTCGGGGGGGATCAAAAGCAACCCTGAAGAAAATATAGTTCACAGCTACATAGACAGTTTTGTTTCAAACTATGTGGAGGATATATAGCATGTACAACATCAACGTATTCCTCTGGCACTTTAGACAGCAATGTTGTCGTTTTATTCTCCCTGAAGACAACCTCCACAGTGATACAGATTCATGGGGCTTTGTATACTTGGTATTCTCCGAAGGCAGCACCTGAAGTGTACACTTGTACACTCCCCAGGAGTTTCACATTGTTCCTGGCTGCTTACCCTGGCCTGCTTTGATGGACAAACAACCAGCATTGTGATCACGATCATCATCAGCATCGTGTAATACTCATGCTTGATAATAACCACCCTCTCTGTGGTTTGTCAGTGTTTACAAAGACTGACAGACCTGGCCAAAGTCACATTGATATGACCAACCCCTTACAACAGTTTATATTAAAGACCCCCAGTCTCTTATGTCTCTCCTCTCAGACTGTTAGCTGGCCAGAGAGCTCACAAGATTAGGTTATGTTTCCCTAATGTGGGTATCTCACTTAGTTGTCTTGTTTCAACGATGCCCTGGTCCTGACCTATACACTCTCATCATTTCTTACTGCAGAGCATCCAGCCATAATGTTCTCACAACCATCAACACTATGTTTACAGCAGGTGGTAAATGTGTTGTTTGTAGACTCACAGAGAGGAAGCAGGGCGTGGGAATTCATTCAGATGGGATTGGCTTAATCCACTCGGTTAGCAGAAAGCCATAATCTTCCTTCCAGGGATCTTTGATTCACAGAACAATCAGAGGAAATCATTGTCTTAGATCAACATCTCAGATGTGGGAAATTACTCTGTCATGTGAAATTACTTTGTTTGCCATGATACTATTTCCAAACCCATTTATACAAGTAAATCAATTATTAAGTAGGTGTCTCTGTGTGTGTGGTTGATGTCACCTCATGAAAGTATCCCGGTTCTCCATTTGTCGATTCCATTTCTTAGATGCTCTCCCCCGTATTCAAACCTCATCTTGGAGCTAGTACTGCCAGCCTGTCCGGGAGCTCTTCTCATCTCTTCCTGGTTCATGGCCAGGTGTTTATCTCTCTGTCACCACATTGTGATGTGGGATAGATCCTGCCTGACAGTCAGAGATGCAGTGTGGTGCTAGCTGACAGGATAGGAAAGCAAGAGGTTATCTGGTGGCAGGTCTCCAGACACTATCAACCATGGGGGGACAGATGCAGCTTTGCTCTGCTCTGTATTGTCTCAGACACAGACATATGTAGTCCTGTCACGCACACGGGTTATAGATAGTTTTTTCCCCGCAGAGATTACCCTACATTAATCGTTAAAGTTGTGTAAAAGTTTTGAATTAAACGTTTAGTTTGTCATGATGACAAATAATGGCCTTAAATTTGACTTTACTAGGTTGTGATAATGTAGGACTTTACTAGGTTGTGATACTGTAGGACTTTGCTAGGTTGTGATAGTGTAGGACTTACTAGGTTGTGATAATGTAGGACTTGACTAGGTTGTGATAATGTAGGACTTGACTAGGTTGTGATAAGGTTGTGATAATGTTGGACTTGACTAGGTTGTGATACTGTAGGATTTTGCTAGGTTGTGATAATGTAGGACTTGACTAGGTTGTGATAATGTAGGACTTGACTAGGTTGTGATACTGTAGGACTTTGCTAGGCAGTGATACTGTAGGACTTTCCTAGATTGTGATACTGTAGGACTTTGCTAGGCAGTGATACTGTAGGACTTTGCTAGGCAGTAATAATGTAGGACTGCTAGGCAGTGATAATGTAGGATTTTGCTAGGCGGTGATACTGTAGGACTTTGCTAGGCAGTGATAATGTAGGACTTTGCTAGGTAGTGATAATGTAGGACTTTGCTAGGCAGTGATAATGTAGGACTTTGCTTGGTAGTGATAATGTTGGACTTTGCTAGGCAGTGATAATGTAGGACTTGCTGCTAAAAAGCCTTTGTTTCTCTCTCTCTCTCTCTCTCTCTCTCGCCCTCCAGTAATTTCCGTTTTCTGATGATAGCGTTGGCCTACGCGGTGCCTACAGGGGTGGTGGCAGGCTGGTCAGGAGTTCTGGACATGATCCTCACCCCTGCCAGAGTCAGCCAGGTAAGGAACACACACCTGACCCAACACCCACAACATGTTTGCTGGGTTTAGAACATACCAAAGATACAGATTGTCTTCAAAGTTGAAGTGTATTCTATCGTAGCATTACTCACTGTATTCACTCTGAATGGTAGGACATTAATAGCAGTTCTGGAAGACCATTTAGACATGTTCAAACTGATCACTTCTTAAGGGCATTTATTACAATAGAGTATTTACAGCGTTTACTGCCAATTTCACACAAATGATCTGCGCTGGTACGCACACACAATGAAAAAGGCGTGTTTCAATAGCTGTCTGAACTCTGTGTGGGTGATCACCTTCTGAAGCACTGAAACAGGCCCGCCAGCCTGCCTGAAAACATCCCCTTATTATAACTGGGCCTGTGATGTGGCTAATTGTCTGAGGCAAACACACAGAGTGTAATTTCCCTGGCTGAAATGAATGTTTACTTTCGAAATGGCACCCTATTCCCTACATAGTGCACTACTTTTGACCAGAGCCCTATGGGAGTAGGGTGCCATTTGGGATGTAGAAATGTAATTTCCCAGGCTGAAATAGATGTTGACTCATAATTAACCCCAATGGACAGAGCCACAGCAACGCAATGTAAAGTCTTCTTTACAAACTTGACTTTACATTCCCATCCTGGACTCATTAAAAGAAGCAGGCCCTTGTGAATAACACTTTGAAATTGGTTGGTCCGTCCTCCTCTTTTCTCTGTCCATCTCCTTCTCCTCTCCTCTCTCCAAGTGGTATAACTTTTTAAGGGTCTAATCAAACATTCGTGGAATCGACAGAACTTTATTTGCATGCAAGAAAATGTGGAGCATGTCAGTATAGCCAGGCACTTAACACTTGAGATTCTTATCTTAATGAGACCGGCATCATCTCAGACCCTTCAACCATCCTGGATTAGCATCAGAGAGGAGATGTTGGGATGCAGACCAGAGCACCCTCTACTTCCAACAAGATAGTAGTGGCTCAGAAGAGACAAAAGAGGCTTCTTTTCAAGGTTATCATCAGGCAGGTACTTGAGAAGAAATCACAGAGCTGTGGGATCACACACACACATGCGCACACACACACACACACACACACACACACACACACACAGCCTTGTTGTATTCACCTCGCTATCTCTCCTCTCTGTCAGAACCCACAGGGAGTATCATCAATTCTTTATACTCTTTATGTCTAATGGTTTCATTTGTGGTCAAAAGGAAATCATAAGGAACTTTTCTCACTTATCTCTGTATCTAAAGACGGTGTCACAAAGATGTTGCCATTGCTGAACTCTAAACAGTTTCCCCAGGCTCAAAACACTGAGTCGTTAAAATGCATCACAATGGGAGCATTCACTCCTCAGAAGCTAAAGGAGTATTAGTTTGACTTGAACAGCCATCACCAGCCGGCTACCTGCCCGGTACTCTGCCCTGCACCTTGAGACTAATGCGCTATGTATGTAGAGTAATTATAAAACAGGTTGTTTGGATCCTGGATGCTAATTGGTTGATATGCGGGAGATACCATGACGTATTCATCTCATAAATCCACTGTCCCGCAGCCCAGGCAGAAAATTCATAAATTCATAAAAAAGTGTCTACACAATATTTTTCCATGCTACTATTTGGTTTGCAGCAGTTGGGGGTTATAAACCTACCTGTCTGCCTCTATGACCTGTGCAACAATGTATCATTTTACAAATGCGATCTCTCCTGTTCCAGCTAGCCCAAGAATGAACGAGAAACAAATAATTCACCATGGAAACCGTAAACACTCAGAATTCCATTCATTAATTAACCAGCCTATGTAGGCCTATTTGATATTTAATAAATCATTAATTATTGAACTTGTTGTCTCTCATAAACATTGAATCTCAGCTAGATAGCTACATTTGATTTGATTTGATTTGACATGCCACTGATTTGTTATTAGGATGAGCTATGTGGAGAATACAGTATATACATATACAGTGAGTTAACAGCAGTATAGAAACACAATATGAGGTGACCAGTTCAATTAAGCAATAATGCCCGAGAACCCGGAAATTATCGTGTGACAATTCCCTCCAAGGGCTGTATCCCGGCTCGAGGCGGGAACAGCCCTTGTCCGGAGTTGTCAAACGATAATTCCTGGGTATGTATACACTATTCTCCACATAGTTCATCCTAATATACCTACTACTGTACATACCATTTTCATTCCAAATGATATATTGTCTATACACAGCACGTATTTATATTCTGGATTCTGACACAGGCTCACTCTAATATATCTACCCCTGGATTGTTAATTCGACTCGTCCTGTCATTTCTTGATTTCTTGTTTAGGTTTTGTATTATTTGTGTATTTGTTTTGTATTTGCGAGACATTCTACTGCACTGTTAGAGCTAGTAACATAAGCATTTAGCTTCCAATATGCATTTACGCGACCAATAAACTTGGATTTGATTTGACTTTAAGGATGTGTTTTGTTTGCTCTTGATTTCAGAGTTTCAAACTGCAAACCTCATACACTACTGTAAGTTTTTATACAGCTTGGGAGCTGAAAACCTCATACACTACTGTAACTTTCGATACACTACAGCCTGCAAGGTGCACGTCAGTCTTGGCACCAACGAACCATGACCTTATTCTGATAAGACGCTATCAGGAGCAAGATTCATTGAGAGGAATACAATAGCTCTGTAGCTGTCTGACACACTAAACCTATTCTGGTCAGGGATCCAGAGGAAAACAGTGCAAGCAAAGTGAGTGATGCAGTACACACACCCTCTATCCCTCCTATTTTATTGTATTTAATTGTACCTTTATTTAACTAGGCAAGTCAGTTAAGAACAAATTCTTATTTACAATGATGGCCTACACCGGCCAAACCCGGACGACACTGGGTCAATTGTGCACCGCCCTATGGGACTCCCAATCACGGCCGGTTGTGATACAGCCTGGAATCGAACCAGGGGGTCTGTAGTGACGCCTCAAGCACTGAAATGCAGTGCCTTAGACCACTGCGCCACTCGGGAGTCTGTTCCTATGGATGGTGCATTTGCCAGTCTCCTCTACGCTACACGCTGTGTGGTCCCACTGTCATCCCAGACAGAGCTCTCTTTCTCTCTTTCTGCAGCGAGACGATCAATATAGAGGCGCTGCTTTATCCCCTTGTCCCCCTTCACTGCCTCCCAATCACCTCCCAGCTGCTCTCCACTTCTCCACTCAAATGCCACTTGCCAATCTTAGTGCTGCTGTGCTGTTCTCTGCTGTTCCCATTAACAGGCTCTGTTCTGCAGATGTCAAATGCTGTTTTCAATCTGCTGCCGTGTGTGTGTGTGTGTGTGTGTGTGTGTGTGTGTGTGTGTGTGTGTGTGTGTGTGTGTGTGTGTGTGTGTGTGTGTGTGTGTGTGTGTGTGTGTGTGTGTGTGTGTGTGTGTGTGTGTGTGTGTGTGTGTGTGTGTGTGTAGACAAAGCAGTCAGATACTTTTTTTATTTCTTTCCCTGCGAAGAGACTACTTCCCCTCTTTTTGCATCATCCTGTCTTTCCCAGAACACCCACTCCCCCTGACCCACTATCCCTGACCCCCTGACCTACTCCCACTGACCCACTATCCCTGATCCCCTGACCTACTCCCACTGCCACACTATCCCTGACCCCCTGACCTACTCCCACTGACCCCACGATCCCTGATCCCCTGACCTACTCCCACTGACACACTATCCCTGACCATGACCCCCCTGACCTACTCCCACTGACCCACTATCCCTGACCCCCTGACCTACTCCCACTGACCCACTATCCCTGACCCCCTGACCTACTCCCCCTGACCTACTCACGACCACCTGTCCCTGACCCCTGACCTACTCCCACTGACACACTATCCCTGACCCCCTGACCTACTCCACTGACCACTAACCTGACCCACTGACCCTACCCCGACCTACTCCACTGACCCACTATCCCTGACCCCCTGACTACTCCCACTGACACACACTATCCCTGACCCCCTGACCTACCTCCCACTGACACACTTTCCTGACCCACTCCCCTGACCCCTGACTACTCCCACTGACACACTATCCCTGACCCCCTGACCTACTCCCCTGACCCACATCCACTGACCCCTGACTACTCCCATGACCCACCCTGACCCCTGACCTACTCCACTGACACACTATCCCTGACCCCCTGACCTACTCCCCTGACACCCTATGACCTACTCCCCTGACACACTTTCACTGCCCCTTCCCCCTGACCTCCCTCTGCCCTGACCTACTCCCACTGACACACTTTCACTGACCCACTCCCCCTGACCCCCTGACCTACTCCCACTGACACACTATCCCTGACCCCCTGACCTACTCCCACTGACACACTATCCCTGCCCCCTTTGACCTACTCCCACTGACACACTGACCCACTCCCCCTGACCCTCTGACCTACTCCCACTGACATACTGACCCACTACCCCTGACCCACTCCCCCAGCCTCTGAGATTGTTTACTGTCGATTTGGTTGCTGTCGGTACGTACAGTAGCTAGGTGGTTCACCCACCAGTAGCAATAACAGTGTCAACTGCCTCGCACCTTGACTGATGAGTAGGGGCCGTTTGTGGTGGCTCTTAGTTGACCCTCCGTTCCTTCCTGCTGACAGAATGCATCCCGTGACATCTCGTAGCGTCTCTCTCCACATGTTGTGTGCATCCCAAATGGCACCCTATTCCCTATACTGTGTACTACTTTTGGCCAGGGTCCATAGTGCACTACTTTTGACAAAAGCCATATGTAGGGAATAGGGTGCCATTTATTTGGGACACAACCGGTGTCTCCTCTCCACACGGAGGACAGGGAATTGATCCTATAAATAAGAGGTTTTTGCACAGAGACCGGTATGGCTTCTCTGATAGGGAAATGGTGCAGCCATGGAAAGTAGTATGTGGGGGTGGATGGGGCTGCGGCTGGGGAGGGTTGAGTTGGATGGGGCTGGGAAGGTTTGAGTTGGATGG